CGCGGCGCTGGGGGGAGGTCAGCGGCGCGGCGCTCGGGGGGGCGGGGGGGGGGGGGGTTTACAGCGGGGCGGCGCTCTTCTCTTTTGCCTGGGACGGCAAAAAAGTTAGAGCCGGCCCTGAGCCTATGAGGCAGCATCTCCCATAAACACCTCTGTTTTGCCTGCCACGCTGCCCCTTGTGCATGAATGGGAAATGCTCCCTAATAAAACTCAATCAGCCGTTACCTCCTCCTTCCCCTTCTTAATTGCCGTCTCTGCCACGAGGCCTCCAGAACTCAGGCTGGTGATCAGGGCGAGGCAGGTGATCTGCTGTGACTAGAACTCTTCTTCATCTTTCCTATCCTACTCTACCTCCAATTGAAAAGAAATACACCTGGTCCCCCTGTAGCTAGCTAAGCTGGTCCAATTCTTCCCTGTACCGTGGAGAAATGAGAATTCGGCCTTAGCACAAACATTCCTTGTTTTGTTCTAGAGGGAATTGATATAGATAAGATGGCAATGCAGGTCTTTCCTTCTAGGGGTATAAGGTATAACCTGGCAATAAATACACTGAGGCTGGAAGTAAGGAGGAGGTTTCAATTCTAACCATCAAAGGAGTGAGGTTCTGGAACAGCCTCCCAACTGGAATTGGGGGTGGGGATGGGGTTGGGGTTCGGGGGAAACAACGTAGTCAAGGAGGGATTGTGAAAAGTTTGTGAACAAGATTATATATGGGGTTCTCTGCGATAGCACAGACTGAACTCTGTCACCCAGGAGGTCCCTTCCAATCCTATGTCTGTAGGTGAAAAGAAACTAAGGCGAGCCATGACCTTTAACCCATTGGCTGCCTCCCTAATTTTCTTACCTGAGGCAAGGATGCAAATGCCTGTCATGGGATAATTATATTTCTGGTGTGTTGAGATGGTATGTGTATGGGTGAGAGCAGATGCTGGGTAGGCCGCTAGCTGTTTTTAAGAAACTACATAGGCCCATAAAGGATGCTGATGGAGGCTAGAAGTAGTCCCTATCTTCTCCTATTTTGAGCTTTTGAGAAAACATGGCATGTGGTTGCAATGGCAGATCATTCCAGGGACCAGGACTTTCCAGAATGAACTCACTCGCTCATTTTCACCGTGCTGGGCAGGGCAGGAGCTGAATCACGGGAGGAGGTGAGGGCTCTGGCTGGGAGTGCAGACTGTAGTGTGCGGCTGGGGATGAGGGAATTGGGATGCAAGGAGGGGCTCCGGGCTGAGGGGTTCAAAGTGCGGAAGGGGGCTCTAGGCTGGGGCAGGGGGATGGGGCGTAGGAAGTGGTGAGGGGTGCAGGCGTCCGGCAGTGCTTACCTCAAGCAACTCCCAGAAGCAGCCGCATGTCACCCTTCCAGCTCCCAGGTGGATGTGCGGCCAGGTGGCTCTGCACGGTGCCCAGTGAACAGGCACTGCCCCTGCAGCTCCCATTGGTCACTGTTCCCAGCCAAAGGGAGCTGCAGAGCCGGCGCTTGGGGAGGGGGCAGCGTGCTGAGCTCCCTGGCTGTCCCTACATGTATGAGCTGGAGGGGTGACATGTCGCAGCTCCCGGGAGCCACGCAGAGCCAATGCAGGCAGGGAACCTGTCTTTGCCCCGCTGTGCTGCCGACCGGGCTAAAGGCCGGAGCCGCCAGGGTCCCTTTTTGACCAGGTGTTCCAGCTGAAAACTGGACCCCGACCTGGGAACCCCCAACCCCTTTAACGTCCTCATTGGGAAACGCTCCGGTAATGAGCCCCTCCGTGACGCCGTCCCTGCACCGGTTCTGCCTGGGCTGGGGTGGCCAGCCTGGCACGGACAATTCCTGGGGTTCATCTCCCGGCACCATCTTTCATTCCAGGGGAACCCTCGGTTCCTGGGGCGGGGCGGGGCGGCGCCCCAGGGGTGCGGGGCGGAGCTGCCGGGTGCCATGGAAACGTCCTGCCTTTGGTGCAAAGTCACTCAGCACACGTGTGTGTTGCACGGAGTGCGGGGGGGGGGGATAAAAGGGATCCCGGTTAACCTGCCCGCCCCGAAGGGCGCCCCAGCCTTGCCCATTGGCTGCAGCCCCGCCCCGCAGGAGCCCCCGCCAAGCCCTCTGGCTGCATTGCCTCCGCCTGAACCATGAACCCCCCCCCGGGCAGGCGGGAGCTGAGCGGGGGGCCCCGGGGGCTCCGTGTCTGCACCTGCAGCGGGCGCGTTCGCCACGAGGGGGCGCGGCGCTGCCTGAGCCAGAGCGCTCAGGGCTGCAAGCGGCAGCCAGAGACGTCGGCCGGGGC